TCTGAGTGATGTAGTTAAGGAGACAGCTGAGGATCAGAACAGCACGAGATGATCCTTCAGTCTCCGGCACGTATCATCGCTTATTGGCTTTCCTGATATGATCTAGGCAATGTAGCGTGGCCCCACTGTATCCAGGGAACACGTCCAGCCTCCATCACGCTTTTCCTGTTGGTTCTGTGGACGTGATGGTCTCGCCCACACCGCTGGCCCCCACACCCCTCCCCCCACAGCTGCCCACACCGATGATGGTGGACTTGGAGACGCGATGGCGCCCACGCCCCACACTGTTGCCAACCGACAAACTGATGACGGCGACCGGGGAAATTGATTAAGGTATAATAATAACGCCGAAGTTGACGGGTCAACATGATCGTTGGAAAGTGTGGAGCTCCTTCCCATCTTCATCATGGTAGCGAGGAGATGGAAGATAACATTCATTTTCATAAGGTGATAACATGAATATTGAATAACCTATTATTTGTTTTTGTATAAGTCATGAGTCAGTTGGAGTCATTCACGTATACTACGTAACAATCCCCGGCTGAATGAGTAGTAGTATGCTACTTGTATGATCAATACAAATCAAATGTCCTCGGCTCTCTACCGAGGGATCCGGAGTCAATCCCCAGGCACAAAAGAAACGGTTGGTCACGTTTCTATTCACCTGATGCCTCTGTTCACCTAGCAGTAAATAGGTACCTTGGAATTAGGCAACTGTTGTGGTTTGCCTCCTGGGGAGTGTAAGACGTTGGCGTCTAGGGGTACCACACTAAACTTGATAACAATCTTCCTCGACATGGGGAAGTAATGACAAAATTATGTAAATGACGCGTCAATGAGGACTGTCACTAGTCATGGCATTAAGGTGTCATGGTGTCATGCACAATGTATGCATTACAGCGATAATAATTACGTAGTGGCTCCACGTGAAGAACACACAAGCAAATGAAGTAGCAGCTATGAATATAGGTCCCCCTCGCCTGGTGTACAGTGTGTGTGTGTGTTGTGTGGGTGTCAGTGTAGGTCCCCCTAGCCGTCCTCACCTGGTGTACAGTGTGTGTGTGTTGTGTGGGTGTCAGTGTAGGTCCCCCTAGCCGTCCTCGCCTGGTGTACAGTGTGTGTGTGTTGTGTGGGTGTCAGTGTAGGTCCCCCTAGCCGTCCTCGCCTGGTGTACAGTGTGTGGGTGTTGTGTGGGTGTCAGTGTAGGTCCCCCTAGCCGTCCTCGCCTGGTGTACAGTGTGTGGGTGTTGTGTGGGTGTCAGTGTAGGTCCCCAGCCGTCCTCGCCTGGTGTACAGTGTGTGTGTGTTGTGTGGGTGTCAGTGTAGGTCCCCAGCCGTCCTCGCCTGGTGCACTCGGCCTACAGGAAGCAACACTGAATCATTCAGGAAAGCTTCCCATCATGCTTGCTGATGAAAGGTTCACAAAAAATGACCAAATGCTGATGAAAATGGAACAGTAAAGAAATAAGAGGAAAATGCCAAAAACTTTCCAATGCACACTTTCAGTGCACTGAAATTTTCTCTCTCAGAAACAAATTTAATTGTTCGTTGGTCAACCTCGACAAAAATTGCAAGAACTTGTTCAGCTTTTATAAGCAAGGTTATTTCTAATACAAACGCGATTATTCTAAAAAAAAAAACATTGCCAACAAAAGGAAAGAATTTGGATTAGTTTTTACACCAAAGCATTTCCAGAATTAAAAAAGAAATCGGCTCTCTCTTGTTTGACTCGAGGAAATGGTGCGTGAAAACACGGTGTGTGTGTGTGTTGTGTGGGCGTCAGTGTAGGTCCATAGACGCCCACACCTGCTGCACAGTGCGTGTGTGGTGTGGGCGTCAGTGTTGGTCCATAGACGCCCACACCTGCTGCACAGTGTGCGTGTGTTGTGTGGGCGTCAGTGTAGGTCCATAGACGCCCACACCTGCTACACAGTGTGCGTGTGTTGTGTGGGCGTCAGTGTAGGTCCATAGACGCCCACACCTGCTACACAGGCCAGAGAATTGCACCCCGAGGCCCTCCAATATTAAGAGCGGTGAAGATCACCATACTGAAGGATGCACAGTCTTCTCTCTTCTTCATGTCGCTCGTAAACTAATGTTTAATGCTGCTTTTAGACCCTAAATAATGAGTTAACTAAACGAATGACACAAATACTATAGTTAATTTTATTAAGTATTACATGTTTGTACTAAATTAATATATACTTCACAGAGTAAATATTTAAATTTCCTTCGCAAGTGAAGAAAATGTAAGGAAAATTCAGAAGATTCGCGACAGAATTATTGATCTCATCCTTTCGGTCGCGTTCAATGTGTGTATATTGTGATTTACACACACATGTATGTGTGTAAATCACCAAGAAACTAACACGTGATGAATAATGTGACAATGTCTGACCACGAAGAAAAATAAGACAGGAAATTCCTCAAGTAATTTCGTATTAGTCAATACATCTTCAAAAGAATGAATATCACAAGTCAGTCGTTTTAATATATAGACAGGAAGGAAAACCATTGGGTGAAAAACAATGAGGGGCTTGCTGCAGTTTCCTCTTGTTCTTATTTTCATGAAACAAAGATATTGTTTTTCACCTCATTGCTTCCCTGCCTTTATATTACCACGACTGACTTGTAATATTCACAGTTCACTTACAGCCCAGCACCTGTGCCAAGTAAACCCACTGCGGGCTCACCATAGCCCGTACTACTTGGGACTTTTTGTTTCGAGTAGCTGAATCTAAACCAACATTGTAATACTCACCACTTAATATTTATGCCCGTGCCACTTCTTGGGTGGCTTAATCTTCATCAATCATCAATAAATTGTAATATTCATCCTTCTGAAGATGCTTTGTACTTAAGAAAGTACTTAATGAATTTCCCGTCTTATTGTCCTTCGTGGTCAGACACTGTCACATTATTTATCACGTGTTAATAAACATTTTATTAGATTAAAAACTATATGGCTGTTTAAACTGATTAAACAGTTAACTATACAACTGATTAAACCTCAATTGAATGAGGTTTTAACATGCGTTCATATGTCATTAATTTTATAAATTCATTAAAAAATTACAGGTAAACCTGTCAAAAATGAGTAGAAACTGTTGATAGAGTAGTTAGCGACATCTCTCTCAAGTGTGGTCTGACTTAGTAACCTCTCGCTCAAGTGGGGTCTGACTTAGTAACCTCTCGCTCAAGTGAGGTCTGACTTAGTAACCTCTCGCTCAAGTGGGGTCTGACTTAGTAACCTCTCGCTCAAGTGGGGTCTGACTTAGTAACCTCTCGCTCAAGTGGGGTCTGACTTAGTAACCTCTCGCTCAAGTGGGGTCTGACTTAGTAACCTCTCGCTCAAGTGGGGTCTGACTTAGTAACCTCTCGCTGAAGTGTGTTCTGACTCACAGTTACGTCAATGTCAGAAGCGACACGTCGTCTAAGCCTGGATGTTTACCGAGGTATTAATTCACAGCAAATGATCCAGTCGTCAAAACCGAGGCTCGTGACGACGCAATCAATACTGGCAGCTGAGCAACACGTTCCCAAGTAAGTTGTATCGACAAAAATCAAAGTGAATAGTGATTATTGGCCTCGTTCCACGGTGAGTCTGGGGGCTCGTCTCGCCTCTGTAGACTCAACTCTGGTTCCTTCTTTTATGGTTGTTTATACCCTCGTGTCGTGCTGGAAAGCCCATTGGACAAACAAGTGAGAATTGCTGTGTTGGGTTCACAGGTGAATGTGAACACACAGCATTTCTTACCTCATTTGACTCCGCCGGCGGCACTGACTGGTTGCCTTGAGCCAGTTTTGGCACATGTTCCCCGCGGAGGAAGGATCCGGTGGTCCATGACGGGGATGTAGGCCACCGTTATGGCCCTCATTCCATGCCTGGAATGTGGGTCCTGGGATCCCTCAGTGAATAATGTGAAGTTAGCGTATTGTCCGGTCCTCCAAGAGTATTCCTTAACGCTCTTACTTTACATCTTTCTCGTAAAATTTTAGTATAATGTACAAAGTCCGCAAAAAGTAACAAATATACACAGAACTTTAAAATAGATTGCAAATAAGAAATAACCCAACAAAATCTTGGCGTAATTACCTGGAGGGTTGTTAGCAAGATTAACTGCCCGAATTACAACTTGTGCGGCCTAGACCCTTAACAGCGGTGTGAGTAGTCTCGAGTTAACGCTCGGCAGAAATGATTACTTCTCCATAAACTCCACAAAATTACCTGAGATATTACTCGCGTTCTTGACAGTAAATCGATTTTATATTTTCTTCTTTTCCCCACAAGTGGAAATTCAGATTAAGTTGTTGAACTGTTTGAAGTTTGGGAAAAACACGTTTAATTATGGGTGGGATGAGAAGGTGAAGAGAGAATATATACGATGAGAGAGTCCATGTGTGTGTGTGTGTGTGTGTGTGTGTGTGTGTGTGTGTGTGTGTGTGTGTGTGTGTGTGTGTGTGTGTGTGTGTGTGTGTGTGTGTGTGTGTGTGTGTGTGTGTGTGTGTGTGTGTGTGTGTGTGTGTGTGTGTGTGTGTGTGTGTGTGTGTGTGTGTTTGTATGTGTACTCACCTATGTACTCACCAATTTGTGGTTGCGGGGGTTGAGCTCTGGCTCTTTGGTCCCGCCTCTCAACTGTCAATCAACTAGAGTACAGGTTTCTGAGCCTATTGGGCTCAATCATATCTACACTTAAAACTGTGCATGGAATCAACCTCCACCACATCACTTCCTAATGAATTCCATTTGTCAACCACTCTGACACTAAAAAAGTTCTTTCTAATATCTCTGTGGCTCATTTGTGCACTCAGTTTCCACCTGTGTCCCCTAGTGCGTGTGTCCCTTGTGTTAAATAGTCTGTTTGTATCTACCCTATCAATTAATTGAAGGTGTGTGTGTGTGCGCGTGCATGCGCGTGAATGTGCTGGAGATCCAGGTGAGTCACGTGGTGAGTCACCAGGTATACACACACCTCGTGACATGATATTCACCAGTCAGCCGAGCTGGACCGTGCCCGCGGGAAGAGCACCAGTCACCTCCATAGTTACCTGTGTATCACCTCCTGCCAGTTCCCACTGTCAAGTAGTGAGCGGCCATTCCTCGCCTTAACACAACCTGCCAAGTGGTAAACTCACTTTAGGTTAACTTACGTGAACTTTAAATAAAGCCTATTTTTGGAGTCCAAAACGTGACGTCACACGTTACTGTGTTGTAACTTTGTAAACAGTGGCTTTTTTGTTTCATTCGTGATAAGAACTTGAAAGGAATTACTAGAGTGGACAAAGGGGGCAAGGCACAAAAGTGATAAATGAAGGCGCAAGCGAACACGACTTAGAAATAAGATAAGCAGGAGACATCTAACCGTGACGACCGGAGACAAGTTGATAGGCTGCAAGAAGAGATTCTGAAGGTAAACTCAAACATGAAGAATGAGAATTGTTGCATTTACTGACACGGAGATGACAAGGCGGGACTTGAGAACTAACAATGGATCCGTCAAGCATATCTAGGTGAGTACATGTGTGTGTGTGTGTGTGTGTGTGTGTGTGTGTGTGTGTGTGTGAGTGGTATACACCCCCACGCGCTCCCGTACATCCGTCCAAGTACACCACAGACTGGTCAATGCATCGATTAAACAACTGAATTGCTAATGATTAGCGTCGGGTGGCGCCAGAGAGCTGAGGGTAGGGTGTTGACCCACACTCTAGCCTCCCTCTCACCCTGGCCGCCCTCTCACCCTGTCCTCCCTCTCTCCCTCTCACCACACCTCTCCCTCCTCTCACCACACCCTCGTCTCTCACTACACAAAGCAAAATTTGCTATCCACATCTATGAACAAAGGCAAAATGATAGCAGCCTATAATTGTTGGTAACGTTTGACGCAATAATGCCTATAATATTTAGCACAGATGATTTGGTGTTGGGTATAAGACCTATCAACATCTGGAGGATTAATAAGAACCACCACAATCGCTTAGTGACCAACCAGCAAGTGTAGCCAAGTCTTGAACATTGTCCACGACAAAAGTAAAACATATATATATTTTTTAATACCATATATATTTTTCAATAACTTTTCTTTATTCTGTTGGATTGTTTTTGAAGTATTTTCTTGCCTGAAGAGTGTATACACTGTCTCCTCATGTTGCTTTGTTGTTTGGTGATGAGGTTAGCATTTCTCATGTGTTGTTCCTGGTTCCCGTGCGTGACACAAGTATTAGTGATGCTATTGATACGTTAGCTGTTCGTAAACCTTCGGATTTCGTGACGTTTCAACTGCGTATAGTTTATCCCAACTACCGAAGGAAATTGTCTACACCTGTCGTTGTGGTGAAGATGTTCTGCTGCCAACGAGGGCGTTCATTATAGATGCCTTGTGCACAAATCTCTAAATTTTTTCCCGTGTCGCTCACTCACAAATTGGTGAGTACACACACACACACACACACACACACACACACACACACACACACACACACACACACACACACACACACACACACACACACACACAGGTGACACAGGTGGAAACTGTGTACCCCACATTAGCCACAGGGAAGTTAGATAGAACTTTTTCAGTGTCAAAGTAGTTAACAGGTGGAATGCATTAGGCAGTGATGTGGTGGAGGCTGACTCCATACACAGTTTCAAGAGTAGATATGATAGAGCCCAGTAAGCTCAGGAATCTGTACACCAGTTGACTGACAGTTGAGAGGCGGGACCAAAGAGCCAAAGCTCACCCCCCGCATGCACAAATAGGTGAGTACACACACACACACACACACACACACACACACACACACACACACACACACTATCACCTAGCCTGGCCGCCCTCTCTGTGTTTACCATGTCCCCACTCCACCTTCATGTGGTATTTGACAGCACGGGAGCTGTCTGTGTCCAGGCGTTGGGTGTGTTGTGTACAATGCCTCGAGTGAGTGTCGGCTGCCTGAGTATTCTAGGAAAACATGCGAAGGCTCAAATTCAATTCAATTATGAATTCATGACTCAATGGTGTTGTCAAAGAAAGGTCGTTTTGAATTTTTTTGATTAATTCATATTGTTAGCAATATTGATAGTGACATTACAGCTGCTGTAAATGCAGGGTCAGTCTTGATGAGATATTAGTGATAGTGAAAAATGGTAGAAATGTTAATTATTTTTGACTGAGGATGACTATTTATCTCACATATATATATAAAAACATCTCTCGTGTTGAATCGGTTTTCTATTCGAGCTCACCTTCGCTAAATACTGGTTATGTGTTCCTGTGTGAATCCAAGCGGAATCGATAAATAATATTTTCTGGCATATTTCCAGCTCATCTTTGTCCATGTCTCCTAGTCCTTCAATCCGTGTGCCCTGGTCCTCCAGTCTGTGTCCCTTGATCCTCTAGTTCGTCTCCTCGTCCTTCAATTCTCTTTGTCAATTCCCCTCAATATTTTGTACTTTATTATCATAGTTCACTTGTTTCTTCTTTCTCTCAACGTGATGAAGTCAAGTTATTTCGGCAATAGCGACTTTTCGAGCGCATTATTAAGTCAGTCTCTTCAATTTGCCGGCTGATGTGTCAACACTGCTGGGAATCACTGTCTCTCGTCTAAGGTTCAGGCGCAGCGATATTCACTTCAATGTTTTAAAGTGAAAGGACAGTGCTCCATAGGTTTTCCGTCTCGTTTATTTACAGCACCATCACAGTGTTCAATGCCAGCTCCCCTGCAAGAATCGATACGGTACATCGTAACATTCTTATTACAAGTGCCAGGTCTCACCAGTCACACTCCTTAAGTGGTCATTAAGTGTAAATGAAACGAGGCGTACTAGTTCCCAAGAGTTTCACTGTAACACTGCTCTGATATTTTCCTTGATACCTGCTTGATGGGGTTCTGGGAGTTCTCCTACTCCCCAAGCCCGGCCCGAGGCCAGGCTTGACTTGTGAGAGTTTAGTCCACCAGGCTGTTGCTTGCAGCGACCCGCAGGCCCACATACCCATCACAGCCCGGTTGGTCCGGCACTCCTTGAAGAAAGCAATCTAGTTTTCTCTTGAAGATGTCCATGGTTGTTCCGGCAATATTTCTGATGCTCGCTGGTAGGACGTTGTACATCCGCGGACCTCTGATGTTTATACAGTGTTCTCTGATTGTGCCTATGGCACCTCTGCTCTTCACTGGTTCTATTCTGCATTTTCTTTCACGTTGCTGGCTTTTCTCTCTTCTGGAAGAGATTTCTCTCTTCCAATGATACTCTTTATTTCTCTTTGTCATATTTTATCCACATCTTCGCAGTATCTCATATTCCTGTTTTGTCTTCTTCTCGTTTAAAGCCTTACTGTTTCCTTGTAATCCATCCTGATCTCCCTCTTTCTCTTCTCTCTTCCTTTTGCTGTTTTCTCCTCGTCTTTTCCCTTCCTTTGTTCTCCCTCTTCTTGTATTCTCTTCTCTTGCTCTTCTAACGTCCTTTGCTCTCTCTCCTTCTCTTGCACGTTCCTTTTCTTTCTCTCTCCTTCTCTTCTCCCTTATCAGTTTATCTAGTTCTCATTCTCTGTTCTCTAGTGATTTTATCTTTGTTCTCTTCTGCCTTTGAAGCCTCATTTCCACGTTTTCACCCATCACATTGCGTGCAACCTAACGTGAACCGCACTCACATTAAGAGATACAAAGAGACATTAAGTAAGATAGACACTAAGTAATAAACATATAACATAACAGAGATATAAAGTAAGGCAGTTCCATCCCTTCGCGTCCCGAAAAGGAGATTTCCCCTCAACTGACACTGATGCACTCAACCAGAAGATGATAAAATTCACTCGTCGGCTCTCAAAGTGCTGCCAGATCTGGTTCATGTCTCCTCGAGTGTGTTTGACTCTCCGGCCAGAAGATGTAAGGTGCACCTCAAAGAATAACTTAATATCGAAGGGGGAAGCGGGAAGTGACTCTTTATCGCGTCAGAGGAGGAAATCCCAGACACTTGCGAGGGGGCTGGAAAATGTCAGCAATTCGATACCTTGAAGACATCAACATTTCTGTGACTACTGTAAGACTGCTGAGACTAGAGTACAATTCTTGAGACAAAGGTAATAATTCTGAGACGTGAAAAGTTTAGATTATGTAGTTAGATTATGTACTAGAACACCAAATTTTGAAAGTTTCGATGGAATCAAGTATTATGGGTGACGGAGTGAGTTAGGAAACTTAATAAATGAAATTATGAGAAAGTACTACAGGTGTGTAAAGGGCATCGAAAATGGAGTAATGTTCTCTTTAGAGATTTTTCACTAAAAAAAAAAAATAGGACTAAATAACCAATATTATTTGTTTCATTATATGTCCTAATACTGATATTTTACGCTGAATGCTATTTGTCTTCTGTTTCCCAATAATAAAAGTGCTAAAGATAATAGCAATGCCATTAACATTAATACATTAATAACCAATATTTTTAACTTTCTATCATTATTACTATTCTAAACATTGTGACAAAAGTTGTGTTGTGTTATCAACAGAGACGCCCTGCCCCCCTGCCCTCCCCAGGCAGGGGGCGCCACCATGACGGCAGGAGGTAAACAGTCATCATGGCAGAGTCAGCTGGGGTGCCCAGGGCAGCGCCTCTCCTCTCTACTACACTCCCCTCGCCTCGCCGACCTCACAATAACCTTCCCTGGACACCACAAGTCCATCAAGGTAAACACACCCCAAAGCCTCATTTAATGTTTAATTTTGCCCCGAGGGTGAAAGTTTGCCCCGAGGGAAGATTTTTTTACCAGATTGGAAATTTTGCCCCGATTTATGTTGTGTAACGTCACCCATTGTGATTTTTATTATGATTTCAATTAATTTTTGTTAGTGGAATCTTTCTCTAGATATATAGTAGGATGGTTTATATGGTGCAGCGGTGATATAACCTTGATTATTATTATTATTATTACACAGATTAATCACATTATCGTGATATATCAATGAGAAAATCCACAGGAGCCGTGATGAGGGTTCGAACTGATGTACTGGGTGTTCCTAGATACACGCTCTAAACGACTACGCCACGACATGGTCAAAAGATGGTTCTTTTGACCATGTCGTGGCGTAGTGGTTTAGAGTGTGTATCTGGGAATACCCGGTGCATAGGTTCGAATCCTCATCATGGCTCCTGTGGATTTTCTCGTACTTATTATTATTATAATTACACCACCACACATGATACCCCAAAACATGACGCCCCCACAAATACCACCACCACACATGACAATACATATGACACCCCAACATATGACAACGTCATGTCACTCAATATCTACACAATTCTGAGGAAAACAAAGGGAAAAAAAGAGAGATTACATTTGTCTATTTTATTGTCAGCAGAAAAATTCTAAGTCTGGCATGGTATGAAAGCTGTATTAAATTTGCTACAACAAAGCTCTTTGAACTTTAATCAAATTTTAGGGGGTTGCATCACGACAATGTTATGTTTTTGAGATCGTGAACAGAATGTAATAAAACGTGATGCACATTAATTAAAGGTAGATAAAAAGTTTTAAGTCTGGTAATTTTTTTTAGGAAATCATTCAAAAAGATTTCGTGTCACTTTAAAGGCAGTTCTTCAATACATATAAATACATCACTAGTGCTTACACTACAGCTTATCTACAACTTCTACAGTGGCTTTTCAAGCACTTATAAACGTAAGTGCTTCAAGCACTTACGTTTATTTTGCAGCTTTTCAAACACTTGAAGCTTCATTAAGCTTAAAGAGTATCAGTTTTATGGTTCTTTAAATGTACCTCTTGAGGTATATTTCAGCATTTGGAGTATCGTTGGTAATAACATTACGTCCATTACATCATTAGATAAGTATCTTAACATGTAGATTGTGTTACAAAATAATAGAGGCCTCTACAGTAGGATCCTGAAGCTCCTTCTGACGCAGGCACACCGGCTGGTTTTGGCGATGAGCTCCCCGGTGTTCGAAGCCATGTTGTACGGCCCGCTGGCAGAGGGCTTGTACCTGAGGGTTCACGAAGACCCTCCCGAAGCCTTCGAGTGGCTGCTGGAGTACATGTACCGCGGCCAGACTCACCTGCCGGGGGTGTCCCTCACTGTGCAGGTGTACCAGCTGGCCAGCAAGTACCAGATTGAGACTCTCATGGCTCTTTGCTCCGAGGTAAGCCAGCTGTTGCCTGTTGCACCGTGGTCTCTTGTCACAAAAGCCTTCTTTTTGTCTATTTCTATGTGGCATTTATCCTGTCACATATCTTTCTCTGTGTAGTTATTTATCGTTATATTTGTCTATCTTTACGTGGCATTTATCCTTACACACACATACCAGTCTCCATGTTTACATATCTGTGATAATATATCAGCAACTGTATGTCGTCAAGCGTTCGATTAGTCTATCCGTCACTGGCCAGTATATCCTTCACAGGTCAGTATATCCGTAACTGATTAAAGTATTTACTCATTCATTTAGCATAATATCAATTTAGCTATTCTATATAATTGCTGAGGATTGTTGGAGGAAGAGGGGAGAGAGAGAAGGTTTTTTTACGAGGTGTGAGGGACAAGCAGGGTTAAGGGAGGGGTGAGGTGGGGTGAGGGAGGGATAAGGTAGGGTGAGGGAGGGATAAGGTAGGGTGAGGGAAGGATAAGGTAGAGTGAGGGAGGGGGATAAGGAAAACGTTGAGGAGAGGTGAGGGCAGGCGGAGAGAGGGAAGGGATAGAGAAAAGGTAAGAGGTAAATTAAGGAACAGGGGAAAAAGCCAAAATAGAAGACATAATGGAAGGGGAGAGGCAGGGAAGAAGAAGAAGAGGAGGAAGGGAAGAGGACGGTAGGGGAAACTGAGGATGAGGGAAAGGGAAATGATGAAAGAGGACACAGAATAAAATCCATTACGGAAGGAGGGTAAGAGGAGGAAAGTGAACAAGGACGAGGTTGTCAACAATGATCATATCCTTTCCTGAATGGTAACAAAACACAAACTTTTGTATTGTACTCAGAGACTATATATTACGAAACATAGAGCAATAACTGGTAACGAGATAAGATCAAAGATGTCAACAATAAAATAAAAACCTAAAAATAAAATATTATAATGATTCATTTAAGATATATTGCAATAAAATAAAATAATTTTGATAAGTTAATGCAACTGTGTACAGCATGGGTTTGTGCTGGCTTTCTTAGGATTTGTTTAAATTATGAATACTTAAATATTTCACCATCTGATATATAAATAAGTACGCTATAAATTTCAAATTGCTTATATACATTTTTTTAAATTTGAGCGTTTAAATTATTTATCCTCTATTTCTGTATACCTTCTGTAAATGTTGTTTTGGGAGACTAGTTACAAGAAAACAGACGCGAACGACCGCACTATGACACTTACATTCCCCTTAAGATGCTTATTCTCCAGCGAGAATGGCAATAACGCGGCTGAAACAAATAACATGTAATGAAAGTGGCGACGTTTGGGTCCAGAACGGACAGAAACATCGTCACATGTATGTGTTGGGCGTTAAATGTTCATGTTAGCAGGTCATCTTGAGGTTATCTTGAGATGATTTCGGGGCTTTAGTGTCCCCGCGGCCCGGTCCTCGACCAGGCCTCCGCCCACAGGAAGCAGCCCGTGACGGCTGACTAACACCCAGGTACCTATTTTACTGCTAGGTAACAGGGGCATAGGGTGAAAGAAACTCTGCCCATTGTTTCTCGCCGGCGCCTGGGATCGAACCCAGGACCACAGGATCACAAGTCCAGTGTGCTGTCCGCTCGGCCGACCGTCATCCCTCCAACAAATATCACAGTAACGGTCTGAGCCTCTCGTCCTGCTGGGCTCTGTCAGTATAACTTGACGGGCTCATTCTCGGTCTCCTCTTTCCCTCTACAGCACCTGCGGGAGACCCTGACGGCCACCAACCTGCCGGAGATGTACGACACGGCGGTCCTACTCGAGGACTCTAAGCTCCTCCACCGCTGTGCTCAGGTAAGTCTTCCCTCAACCGCCACCTCACATGTGTGTGTACTCACCTAGTTGTACTCACCTAGTTGTGTTTGCGGGGGTTGAGCTCTGGCTCTTTGGTCCCGCCTCTCAACAGGTGTACAGGTTCCTGAGCCTATTGGGCTCTATCATATCTACACTTGAAACTGTGTATGGAGTCAGCCTCCACCACATTACTTCCTAATGCATTCCATTTGTCAACCACTCTGACACTAAAAAAGTTCTTTCTAATAACTTTGTGTGTGTGTGTGTGTGTGTGTGTGTGTGTGTGTGTGTGTGTGTGTGTGTGTGTGTGTGTGTGTGTGTGTGTGTGTGTGTATGTGTGTGTGTGGTGTGTGTGTGTTTACTAGTTGTGTTTACTAGTTGTGTTTTTGCGGGGGTTGAGCTTTGCTCTTTCGGCCCGCCTCTCGACTGTCAAACAACTGTTTACTAACTTTTTTTTTCCACACCACACATACACACACACCCCAGGAAGCAGCCCGTGACAGCTGACTAACTCCCAGGTACCTATTTACTGCTAGGTAACAGGGGCATTCAGGGTGAAAGAAACTTTGCCCATTTGTTTCTGCCTCGTGCGGGAATCGAACCCGCGCCACAGAATTACGAATCCTGCGTGCTATCCACCAGGCTACGAGGCCCCTCAACCACACCAGGCTGTGTGTGTGTGTGTGTGTGTGTGTGTGTGTGTGTGTGTGTGTGTGTGTGTGTGTGTGTGTGTGTGTGTGTGTGTGTGTGTGTGTGTGTGTGTGTGTGTGTGTGTTTTCATGGTATACAGTAAACCTGCATGACTCATATTATGAACTGGATCATACTAAATGTTATATTAGAAGCAAGCATTTTTTTTAACTCGTTAAATGTATTGAAATCAACTCATCAAAAAAAAACTATACTCATAAATGGTTGAACATTTCTAATTTCTAATTTCCTGCTATAAACTTGCGCTCACCGCCAAGGTTTATAATATTAATCAACAAAAATGTTAAAAGCGCTCCTACCCTCCCCCCGAAAGATGTGTTCCGAGCATTCCATTACCTATTGTGCCGCAGGTGGTCAACCATTCACCAACAGCTGTCCTGTCCTCCCCGCACTTCGGTCAGTTGAGTCGCGGGGCCCTCACACACCTGCTGCAGCAGCCACTACACATCTCCACAGAGGTAGTTCTCCTGCGAGCCCTCCTGGCCTGGTAAGGACACTTCAACCAAGTGCAGGCGATGAGTCACAATAACGTGGTTAAAGTATGTTGACCAGACCACACACTAGAAGGTGAAGGGACGACGACGTTTCGGTCCGTCCTGGACTATTCTCAAGTCGATTGTGTCAACTAGAACCTAGTCTCTTCTCGTAGCCTCAGATCATTCCGCTCAGGGGAAGTCTACACCATGGAACCAGTCTAACTATACTGGTTACACTACAGTATATTTACTACATTGCAATATAGACTACAATATATATTGCTAGACTATATTTAATATATTCCTAACTACAGTATACTTGCTGGTTTGTCAGTAAGCTATTGTTGCGGCCTTAATAACCCTCTCACGGTTGATGGCCCATAAACTGAACACCAGACCAAACCACAGGTCTCTATCGTAAGGTATACAAACACACACCTCTAGTATATATCATACACACACACACCCCCCTAGTGTATACCTTACACACACACACCCCCCTAGTGTATACCTTACACACACACACACCCCTAGTGTATACCTTACACACACACACACCCCTAGTGTATACCTTACACACACACACACCCCTAGTGTATACCTTACACACACACACACACCCCTAGTGTATACCTTACACACACACACCCCCCTAGTGTATACCTTACACACACACACCCCCCTAGTGTATACCTTACACACACACACTCCCCCCTAGTGTATACCTTACACACACACACCCCCCTAGTGTATACCTTACACACACACACTCCCCCTAGTGTATACCTTACACACACACTCCCCCCTAGTGTATACCTTACACACACACACACCCCTAGTGTATAACTTACACACACACACCCCTAGTGTATACCTTACACACACACACCTAGATGTATACCTTACACACACACACCCAGAAGTATACCTTACACACACACACCCAGAAGTATACCTTACACACACACACCCAGAAGTATACCTTACACACACACACCCAGAAGTATACCTTACACACACACACCCAGAAGTATACCTTACACACACACACCCCCCTAGTGTATACCTTACACACACACACACCCCTAGTGTATACCTTACACACACACACCCAGATGTATACCTTACACACACACACCCCCCTAGTGTATACCTTACACACACACACACCCCTAGTGTATACCTTACACACACACACCCCTAGTGTATACCTTACACACACACACCCCTAGTGTATACCTTACACACACACACACCCCTAGTGTATACCTTACACACACACACCCCTAGTGTATACCTTACACACACACACCCCTAGTGTATACCTTACACACACACTCCCCACAGTTGTTTACATATACAAGCGCAACACCATCACTTTAGAACAAATATTGAGAGCTTATGAAGAAAATCGATTGTGGTAATAATTTACATTTATTTTCCTCGCCTCATGGAGTAACTAATTAATTCTTGTAACACGCAGACACAAGCTTTACAATATAAAAAATATATATAAGTTAGCTGATTTTGTGGATTTAGAGAAAGGCAAAAATAATTATGCTGAATCGTTCAGACTCGTTAGAGCGAGTTTTTTCAGAGAGTAATTATGAGTGGTGCTTACTAAAGCCTCAAAAGAGGCGAACTACTGACAGTAATACCAGGTGGAAGGTGGGAGGACTCGAGGGTATGTGACCAGCTTTGACCTCATCACAACAGCCGGTCGGCCGAGCGGACAGTACACTGGACTTGTGATCCTGTGGTCCCGGGTTCGATCCCGGGCGCCGGCGAGAAACAATGGGCAGAGTTTCTTTCACCCTATGCCCCTGTTACCTAGCAGTAAAATAGGTACGTGGGTGTTAGTCAGCTGTCACGGGCTGCTTCCTGGGGGTGGAGGCCTAGTCGAGGACCGGGCCGCGGGGACACTAAAAAAAAAGCCCCGAAATCATCTCAAGATAACCTCAAGATCTCAAGATAACAAGCATAAGAGGGAAAGGTTGTACATAATTGTGGAATGGGTTACAAGGGAGAAGACAAGAGAGGTTAGCGTCCTTTCTCATGATTTGACAAGCGTTAAATTTGTTGTAGTTTTGCCTAACCGAAAGCGTTAAAAATCATATCATACACCAACTGGTTATCCATGCACCACTTGGGTCACGTGATCCGTCCTGCCAGCCTCCTCTAAATTTATCTCACATATTCGTCCCACTTGTTTGCTCTGGTACAGTCAGCGCGTTTATTTCAGATAAGAGAAAGCTTTGACAAAGATTCGGCGTATTCATTACCAGAAACTGAGGCTCTACGATAAAATCATTTAAGGCTCCTAAAATTTCCGAAAACACAGTGTTTAACTACACTCATTTGTAATTCTGATTAGACAGCGTTCACAATATTTGCGTAAATAAAGTTGAAATTTTCTGTGGTTTCCAGACAGTGATATTATACATGAATCTCACAAATCTTGTCAGATCTGAGTGCATTATGGAGACATGCTTATATATTTTGTGTAAGTTGTTTTAATCAATCTTTCGCAGGGGGAGGTCGCAGGGATCACAGAGGGCGCTGCGGGAAGAGATAATGGACTTCCTCCCTTCTGTTCGCTTTCTGACCATGACTACAGACGAGTTCGTCGAGCACGTCATGCCTGCCGGAGTGATTACCCTGGAGGAAGCCAGTGCCATCCTGATGAACATCAAGGAGGTGAAGGATGTGCCCTTGCCTGACTTTTTCTGCCAGATACGTGAGAAGAGGCTATGCTACCATGAGAGCCTTCTAAGGAAGATTACCCTCAACACCCTATTAAATTTCCCAAGGTCCAAGAAGAGTGCACGAGGCAGCATCTTCGTCCACAGCTCCCACGAACAAATTCTGATAATGAACATGAGAACAGCAAGTACCATCCAGTTAGGGAAAGTGGAGTGCAAAGCCATCAACCCGAGCTCTGGCAGTGCCACAGTCAGCGTTAAGGACTGCGGAGGTAATGTTTTGCAGAGTGCCACATCTGATGGCCTGCTGGCGACCTTTGAAGAGCCTGTAACTCTGAAGCCTGATCTCTCACACAGCATCACCGTGTGCATGGAAGGTCACTGGCCAAGGGGGGAGATGGGGGACTTCATCGTCGAGGCAGAGGAGGTGAAACTCGATGGGAAGTTGGCATATACCGAGGGACGCTTTGGTGCAGTTACTCTATACTTCTGGTCTTTTAACTAGTATATACCAAGACGAAACATCCTCAATATCTCACACATTTTTAAATGTATACATGCTTATTATTAAGTTCTGAAATGCTGTAGTGTTAAAGCATGTATATATGCCTCTGTCCCTGGAGTGAAGGGAGGTTGTCGTCAGAGCTCTTCCCTCTGGTAACCAACCATAGGGACCCACTTACCGTTATTAACATGGATTATCTTGCACGGTTTGTTAACCTTTGTTGCGTCTAATGAAGACCTCAACTAAATTTATACATCGTTATAGCGTGACGACGGGTCTTATGCTAATTAGCAACGCCCAACATTGTGGGTAGAGGATGGCGTCTGTCTGTCGGTTGGTCTGTTTACCTGTTGCTATGCCTGGCTATAGTTATTTACCTGTTGCTATGCCTGGCTATAACAGTTCATTTATTGCTATGTCTTGTTCAAGTTGTTTCTAGGTGTATTAATTTCTTTTATATTTATATTCTGACTTCCTATGTCAATGTACTGATTTATCTTACTCGTTTTATTTGACTTTCTAAACCTTTGTTAGCAAGGGCTGTTTTTAATGATAATGGGGCCTTGGTAGCCCTCTTCTCTAGGCTAGGCCTCTGCTGATGGACCCCTTCTCTTGGATAGGTCAATACTGGTGGGCCCTCTTCTCCTGGTCATGTGTCACATGTCCCTTTTTCTCTATACAATACTGTCCTCAAGCCCTAGAGAATAGCCTAAACCCCTTCGGTTGGTCACTTCACATCAAATAGTACCAAACTAGAACAATATTTTTGGTATGTTTGTGGAGATCTTTGTGAAAGAGGCATGCTGATAGATGTCACCATTCCTCTTCTCCATTTTAAGTTATGTTTTATGGTGAATCTCTTGCAGCTTTGAAGTCCGTGTTTTATTTTTCATTTTCAGTAATTGGAGTTAGTGTTGCCTGGTCTTCCGCCTCCCTCTGGCAGAACTCTACCTGATACGGTTTCAAAGGTCTTGTGTGCTCCTGACACTTCTCCTTGACAGACACTAACATGTTCCCTCTCCTATGATGTTTGCAAAATGTTTTAGTGGCTAGTATATTAATGTATAGATTGTTAACACCAAAAACTTCGCAATGAACTGGCAAGGTAATATATCTATGAGAAGCTATTGAGGCTATACAAATGGATCTAACCCGCGTCCCTGGACTCTCCAGACACATGCACTACCGACTGAGCCACGATGAGCTTCAAGTTAGGTAGAACATCGGGTTGAGATTCTTTTGAGACAAGTTTCAGCGGTGATGCCTGTCTTGGGGAGTCCACAGGCGAGGGTTCCGTTGCATGGAATACGTTCCCCATTTATGTCTCGCCAAACCTGGCCTCATTCTTATGGATTACTTGGCTTCTTCAGTGTTATTCAGAGCAATAGTTCTCCAGTCAACGCTCAGCTGACCAATGAAAATGCAGGCTCATATTACCCAGTTCTCTCAAGTGGTTACGTCTAACAGCCTGGTTGATCAGTCCAGCAACCAGGAGGCCTGGTCGACGACCGGGCCGCGGGGACGCTAAGCCCCGGGAGCACCTCAAGGTAACCTCAAGGTTAACTACCACTCCTCTTATGAGGCTTGAAGGTCCCTACAAGACAAGCAGAGCTGGTACCCCTTATATATCTTTTTAAAAATATATGTAGTCCGGTAGTTACCAGTTGCGTGGCTCCTGGGAGTATGGGTTCGAGTCACTTCTGGGGTGTGAGTTTTCAGTCGCATATAGTCCTGGGGACCATTCAGGCTTGTTCGCATATGTAGGTATATATATACATTTTAGTTCGTTTTTGAAATACGCTTTAAAATTACACCAGCATTTAAATGAAAAATAAAACATCTATCGAAGGTAATCCTCCATAATTGGCCAGTCGAGAGTGGACGGTGGCTCTTGCCATTGACACTCGGCGTCCCGGTTTTATTAATAAAACTGGGACGCATTTCGCACATAATTGCTACTAAACTGGCTTCACAGTTGCTCCAAATGACATCGGAAAGTCCCAATGGTAACACCGCTGAAACGAGTATTTTTATTTCGTTAAATTGCATTTCTACTCCCTATTAAACAAAAAATTAAAAATACTTTTATAAAGAATATTAGACAGGAATATATACACCGGGAGTATATTCCACTTCTCGGTGTATATACACGTAGACTATACATTAGTCCTGGACTGTGTTCAGAACTAAAGGATACTTGCTGGTTTAGTAAACTCTTATGGAGGGCTTAATGACCCTCCCGCCGGACAAAATACCAGAAAACGATATATAAAAATTCGTAAATATTAATTATTTACGTTGTTGTGTTCACCATATTCGTCTGGTCGACGACCGGGCCGCGGGGACGCTAAGCCCCGAAAACACCTCAAGGTAAGGTAATTATCAGGATAAATCATTGAGCCAAAACGACAATATATCATTTGGAAGGGATGTGAGGCCAGGGATGTGGGATAAGACGGAGGAAAAAAAATGGTGTCAAACCATTTGGATCGTCGGGAATCGAACCTGCACGAAGGAAAGTCGTTGCTGCACCGACTAGCCCAAGTGGCTGAAGCTGTAACGAAAGATAACAATACATGTCTTTTGGGGGTATCAGCCATCGGGCACAGTAATCTGGTGGAAATATATAGACCCGGTGAACGTGTAAATTCTAGATTCTGATGGATAAGATCTGTTTTTCAGGTGTTAAAATTGCTTATTCCTCCCCCCCCCCCCCCCCCCCGCACACACAGCGTTATATGACAAAGAGTGCTGGGAAGACGGGACACCACGAGCGTAGCTCTCATCCTGTAACTACACTTAGGTAATTACACACACACACACGCACACACACACACTGACCAAAATGCCAGAGCTCAACGCCCCGCAAGCACAACTAGATGAGTACATCCACACAATCACTATAATTATGAAAATTTGCAAATTTTGTGTAATGTAAAAACAAAATTCCTCTCATTGTCAATGGTTATCTCAAATTGATTTGCATTAGTTTGGTCAGACTGCCAAGGCGGCGTCACAGTGGATATAGTGACAACGTGTCACTCAATAAGGGAGACAGGACGTCACACACTGGCTAAGATAACTCATCACACTGTAAAAGGGAACACAACGATAGTGGGTATAATGAGTCTAGTGAGGGTCCAACAGGGGGCCAGAGACAGCGCTCACACAATCCCTGATGTATGTGAATCGTTTCCAGAGTGTAGACTCCTTCGTGTCTATATACCTGTCCTAACACTTAATACTCCACAATGCTGTTGTTGTTGTTTAAGATTCGCTACTTGGAACAAAAAGTTCCAAGTAGCACGGGCTATGGTGAACCCGTAGCCCAATGTTGATGCATCGACTAAAACGTCAAAATTCCGATAGTCTTGCGATACAGAACGCACTGAAATGCTAACTCTTCCACAGATATGATGATCGGCCTCGATACATTACGTGGGTTGCCATAGTTTGTTTCTGGTTGGTTAAAACCGGTTTAGATTTGACTGTTTGTCAAATCGTGAGAAGGGGCTGGCCGGAGCCCGTGACGACGTCTCACCACAAAGACGACTCCCTACACTGGTACTCCCTAATACACTCTACCGCCTTCCCTGTCCTCACGATCAAACAAATTATTCAGTCTGGCAAAATGACTATTGAAAACGTCATTAAATGTGTGTGTTTAATTCACGTAATATTCTGAAATTTGCATAATTATGAAAATTTACGCCTGTGTCACTTTGATGAAAGATCTGAGAGTGTTTACTGCCCAACATGTTTTAACTGGAAGTTATATTTCGTATTAAATACAATTGATCAAGGTTGTTAATTAACCTGAGAATAGTACAATTATAAATGTACTTACCATGTTATTGCATTAAATGATCAAGAATATCCGCAAAGTAACTTCATTTGTAATTTAATTAATATATGCTGAAATATATGTCTTGAAAAATAATTTTTATGAACATAACTGACCACAATAACTCCATAATATGCAAAAACTTTTACATATTTTTAAAAGCCTGCACAATGAGAGGAAAATTGTGAAGATCACTGGGTTTATAACTTCGGAAAAAGTTCGACAATAAATCTCAGAAGGAATTACGAAACTCGTTTCTGAAGGTTTATGATACACGCCTTTGACCTGAAGGTCGCTCACCGCCTCTGTGGCTCGCGACGTGATGTGTTTATGTAACACTACCACCAAGTTGGGTCTTGCAAATACTTTAGGATACCCTAGACACATCAACACAAGGCACAACCCGTTCTCGCACTTTCGTATAGTCAATATTGACTTATTAAATACGTGCATATGTGACATACTAAACATACTAGTTTACCTTGAAAAGCTTCATAGAAAACACCGACCTTACCTAACTTCTTAGTATGTTAAGATAAGCATCTTATTGCTTCGTAATAATAATTATTACTTAACCTATACCTATAATAGGTTAAGTAATAATTGTAATTACGAAGCAATAAGATGCTTATCTTAACATACTAAGAAGGTTAGGTAAGGTCGGTGTTTTCTATGAAGCTTTTCAAGGTAAACTAGTATGTTTAGTATGTCACATATGCACGTATTTAATAAGTCAATATTGACTATAAGAAAGTGCGAGAACGGGTTGCAAGGCAGACTAGTTACACTTCCTCAGAAAACGAGGATGTTCACATGTTAAATTCGGTTTTGATGTAAATTAACGCATTTATAAAAATACGATCATTTATGAGTAAAGTTTTCTATTTACGTTCAAATCCTAACCAAACTTATCTTAATTGTTTGGTATCTTTGCTTCATTGTCTACTAAATATGTAATACAAAATATATGTAATATAACCAGAATTGATTTAAAAGTATTTAGATGGATCTTAAGGAGAAAGGAATAACTTGAGCTACTCGTTTTCTTAATTTGTAGAATAAATGTGAATGAGCAATATTAAAACAGAGTACCTTCATTTAATGCCACACAACGATTTTTTATATATTGTTAATGATATATATTGTCAAGTCTAGCATAGAAAATAATGTATTCTTTATTGGCCAATACCAATGGGGAGCCGGTCGTCCGAGCGGACAGCACGCGGGACTTGTGATCCTGTGGTCCTGGGTTCGATCCCAGGCACCGGCGAGAAACAATGGGCAGAGTTTCTTTCACCTTATGCTCCTGTTACCTAGCAGTAAAATAGGCACCTGGGTGTTAGTCAGCTGTCACGGGCTGCTTCCTGGGGGTGGAGGCCTGGTCGAGGACCGGGCCGCGGGGACACT